GGTCCGTCTGTGTTGCTTCTGAATCAGTTTAGGAGGCGTGAATGAACAGGTCTTGTGTCTCTTTTGAACTGAGATGTAAACTGTGTACAGTACTTTTAATGCAGATTTATCGTTGTGATGGTAAAAGCGTGCCTCTACAGTGCTTTCAGGACAGGCCAACGTGTGTTTTGTAAACACGGCGTGACAGTGAAGCAGGGCTCTTCTGGCCAAGCGGCTTTAGACAGATCACACCCTCACGCTGCAGCTCTCTGACTCTGCGCTGCAAACTCAAAACTCTTTTGGCAAGTTTCAGTAATCGAATCATATTTTGTCTTGTTTGTCGTGACTCGGCCATTTATTTTTAGAGCTAAAAGCTTTTGTTGCTAGGAGACTGTGTCTTAGAGGCTGAGTGAGGGAGGGAGGGAGGGACAGTATGAAAGAGAAAAGAAATGAAGAAAGGAAGCGATGGCTGCGGCGTTGAGGGGGAGAAAGGCGGAATCTGTGAAAGGCGAACGACAAAACGAACGAGCTATGAGTCAGCAGGGACATCTGCAACACATGCAGTGGGCATGGTTGCTATTTCTGTGTTCTTTGTCTGTGTGCTCTGTGCACCCACGCATGAACCCACTTACCTCTCGCCACTAACCTGTGTTGTGTATCTGTGTACTTTGCGAGATATTAGCTCGCCCACTTTGATTCAATCCCCTCCTCCCCGCTGTGCGTTGTATGTGTCACCGGGCATCTGTGCATGTACTACATGTGCACATGTGTGTTTTTCATCGGCGATTGTGTCACAACGCCTAACCTGTCCCCAGTGACAAGAGCCTTATTGTCCGCTGTATGAATCATATGCTTGTACCCCATTAGTAATCTGCCTTCAAATGGCTGTTAGCGACTATCACAGCCAGCTCGTCTGTCTTTTGGCTCTCTCTCCGAGCACCATTGGAGATCAGATAGCAGCATGTTGTTTATTAGTCACCGGGAGCGCGCCTGTTTTTCAGGATATTTTTTACTCTTCCTTACGATTGCTTGAGTTTTTTAGCTGCCAACTTTAAAAAAAAGAAAATACTTATAGTTGTAGCCAGTATATTTGCAGATTTGGAGAGTGAAAGTCACGTCAGAAAACTTGCAACCCTTTAGTTTCTGTCACATGTATAAACAAAGGTGCAGTGTTGGTTACTCGTATTCAACAGGACCAAACTTTCTCAAGCCCCCTTTTTTCTTTTTGTAACTCCAAAATCTGTGTGAGATAAGTGAAGGCAAATAGCTGAATTATATAACTGTTGTACCACCTACCTATTGCTGAAACATTATGTTAAGAGGGGCAGCCAATCAAAAGAAAGGTTGCTAAAACGAAGGTGGTATAGCTAGTATGGCTCACAGTCAATGAACTGAGAGGCTGCAGCGAGGCCCGACTGCAAGTTAAAGATTATTTTGAACCGTGAATCATGCAGAGCTACTCTGACCGTCCATGAATAAAAAAAAAAAATGTTGCAATACAAATTTAGATGACTAATGCACTTGGTTAGGTCAGTCAGTTTGAATTCATAAAATGTCTCCATCACTGTGATGTGATGACTCAGGCTTATGGATTGAACCCCTTGATGCAGGAACATTTATGAAATATCACATTCATTTGATGGGAGAGAGATGGGGGGGCGTGATGAGTGATAGCATGTATTACTTTTGGTTTAGTAGACGAAGCAGTGCTGTGAAGTTTTCTTGCAAGATTTGGAGTGTGCTGAACAACAAAATGTTCTTAAATTTGAACATTACTCAACTGGTGTGTCTCCGTTACTTAGCCAGATGTTGATGCACAAGGAGCTTGCACCAGTGTGGCAGCATGCCGGTGTTTGCAGAATTTGAAGTCCTGTGATGATATTATGAATAGTTTTTCATGCTCTAAAGGATCTGCTTCCATGGTTGAGTGGTATGTGTATATGACTTCTTGTTATGTGGCTGCGCTGTGTATTGTAAACATCAGCCAAGTGCCTTTTTGTGGCTTTCTTTCTCTCTGTATGACTGATGTCTCCATAGGTCTTAGTTTACGCACTGTCTTTTGTTGTGGTTAGATGTTGCCAGTTTTGGTCGGTTATGCATTACTGATACGGTCTGCTTCTGCAGCTGATACTTACACCGCCATTTCCCTGACTTATGTATTCATGGTGAGGCCCAGCTCCACTTTGCACACCTGATAGTGGACTTTGGTTTCCAACTGGGTTAGTTTTTCCATGACTCACTTTGACTCCATTTACACCTGCTAATAAAATGTGATCTGTTAGAGAAAACACATGTTAATTTCAAAGTGGATTGTAAACACAAGCACCGCTGTGGTCTGAATTTGAATGTATCGCAGCACTGCGAACAGTATCAGCACAGGCAGTTGTATGTGAAAGCAAATCACACGGTGTGTTGAGGATGTGCTACCTGTTTGTGTGTGTGTGGTTAGGGATGATGTGACCCACTGTAGAGTTTGTCATCCACTCAAGCTTCACAAAACACCTTCACACATGATTTGTTTCTGTCATTTGTTGCACTTTTAACTGGTTCACAGTGAAGGACTCAAATAGATACAAACACCTCTGTAGCAAAAATGACCTTTTGACAGAAACACTGTAAAAAGCCCCTTTCTGCTCCGATTAAAAAAAGTACATTTTTTGATAAACTGGCGTCTGCTGTTTTGTTTATTTCAAAGAAAAGAGCAAGTATGCACAGATCCAGGCTAATTATTTTGGGTGCCAGACCCAAAACATAATATGTCTGCATGCTGTTTGGCTCGGTTCGTAAAACATTCATACAAAGGCAACATTCTGATCTCTCTCTTCTAGAGAAGGCCAAACCTACAGCCTTGGGCCTGTTTTAGACTTCTGCAGGCAGACTTTGTAGGGCCTACGACGTAACCTACGCAAGTGGCCGATGTCATTGCTGGCATTTGTGCTGGTGCATTATGTATTAATTACCTTGTGGTCCTGGTGTTTTATGTGCAATGCCAGCTGACAGAAACTAATAAAATGCTCTGACTTCTTTCCCTCATGGGTCTCTACTCTTTTCAATCTACTTCTTTGTAGATTCCCTCATGTTCATTACGCAATCGCCTTCCAGGAATTTGCTGACATTTGTTAGTCTTGATTTTGATTCTATGGTTCTCATTCATTACATAAAGACAATGATTGTTATTTTCTCACTGATAGGTGAGGTGCACATAAGGTTACAGCGCAGGGCTTCAGATGAGTTTGCAGTTATTATGTAGCTACAGCATGAAGGACATAATGTTTGGACTTTTAGGAGTGTGAGCTCTTGTGTTGTAACTCATGAATGCAGTTTCCTGCAGCTATGAATGAAGCACCATTAATAAAGAGCCACAGGTCTGAGCCATCATCAGATTTACAGCCATTTTCCTCAGACAGTGCTGTGACACTGAGTTTCTTTGATTTATTCTCAACATGGCTTCATTTTGGCCCATGCAGCCGAAGGGCCAGTGAGCTCATTCAATGGCAAGGCGTCATCCACAACTTACAAAAATCCCTATGATACTACAGTTTGCAACAATAACTAAACCTCTAATAGTGTAACAACAGTCTTAAAGAAAACCTATTCATAACTGATCCCCATCCCAGTAAACAGTCAGTGAAGACAACAAGCGAAGCGCAATGAAAAAGTCCTAATTGATTTGAATCAACATCTGGACCCCAGGTCCACATACTGGAGTTTAGTTACCAGGTGTGCACCTTTTTGATTCTCACAGCTTATGCCCCTCTTTTCTGTTTTAATGTCATCTTATCTGGTTTTCATCTGGTATTTCGCCTATTTTGTGTGGTTGTTTTTTGTGTTATTGGCTGCTTTTATGGTGCTGCCCCAGAGCGCTTTCCTCTCACATGTTGACAGGGCCATAAAGGATAAAAAGAAATAAGTATTTCCCAGTTTACTGCGCCAATTTGTTGGTTGCATACTCTTATACATCGCATGGCTTTCTGCATAGCATGGTTATGCAATGGCACCTACCTTTCAGCATGAGTGTCTTGCAGTTTAATCAAACTTGGTTCAACGGGCCACGTCACACAGCGTTACAGTCCAGCAGCCTTGAGCATATCGTTGTTAACAGTTCGCCGTCATTGCTGTATAGATATGACAGACTTTGTAGAGTGTGGGAAACTGATTGTAACCTTGGTATTTAGGATAGTGTGTTTCTTTACAGTTACATAAACACACACACACACACTCACAAAATTTAACATTGTTATATTGTGCCCATATGTTTCCCACCCTCAGCTTTCTCAGCCTGATTGCCAAGGCACATCTGGTCCTAATAAGGTGTGTTTGTGTGCGTGTGTGCGCGTGCCCCTTTGCTATGCAGCCTTTCAGCCTGGCCTTCTGTAGAAGTGGTGTTGAGTCTTTTACTGCCACCCACTGCTTTACAACACAAAGCCTATACTTTAAACTTTCGGGTAATAGTGCGTGTGCTCTGGTGAGATTGTGCTCTGATAGCAGTTATAAAAAACCACAGCTTATATTTTGTCTGTGCATATTTCAAGGCCTGTTAATCTGTTGTAACACTGCTGATTTTCCAGCTTTGATGCTGATAGCAGGGGAAGATTTGATATGACTGCAATCTGTGGGAACAGATTTAACCGAAAGTGCTCATCACCAGCTTTCGCTGAGGCACCAAAGCCTTGCAAGGAGATGTTTGGGGATTTCTTCAAGTTTTTTTTTTTTTTGCTCCCATCAATCTTGTCTTATATCCTTTCTCAAATATTCCCCTCCCCTAGCTTAGCACAGTTCCTTTGTCACCTGTTATGCTCATAGTTTAAAATCCTGAGGGGTATTAGCTTTAAACAAAAGCAGTTTACAGCTGTTGTGATGTCGACCCTGGCAACAAAATGGCCGCAGTCCAGTCCAGTCGACAATTAAAGGCTTCAGAGGGATCATAGTTAATCACATGCAGATCACCAATAACATGACTCAAACACAAGACTTTTCCTTGTCACGATCATCCATCTGAACGCCTCTCTCTTTCACCCCAGGGTTTGCCTTCCCAGAGTGGGCCTACAAGCCAGAGTCGAGCCCGGGCTCCAGGCAGATCCAGCTGTGGCACTTCATTCTGGAGCTGCTCCGGAAAGAGGAGTACCATGATGTCATCGCCTGGCAGGGAGACTACGGAGAGTTTGTCATCAAGGACCCAGACGAGGTGGCCCGCCTGTGGGGGGCGAGGAAGTGTAAACCGCAGATGAACTACGACAAGCTCAGCAGAGCACTCAGGTGGGACTAAAGAGTGGAGGGATGGTTTTAACACGGGTCTAACAGGCGTCAGCTTCTCAAACACGGTTCACTTTATATTTTGAAACACACCTTCAGCAAGACTTTAACCATTCAAACAAGACTGCAACTCGCATTTATGAACAATATTTTCCACACATGAGATGAGTCTGGATTGTGCTTTAATGGTTCCCTCAGTTTATTTTATTTTTATTTTTTACTCCTTTACTCTCTTAGAGGAAAATATATTATGCATTACACCCTGCAGTCATTCTCAGGGATGAAACTTGCTGATACTACCAACATGAATTTCTGTGTGTTTGTAGTGGCTCCCCTTTTGTGCCTCAAGGGTTTAAGGTTCAACTCCAGACAGGAACTTTTGTCCTCGATGCTTCTAATTTTCACTCATTATCTGGTCACCCAATACTTGACTCCGGATGATCGCAGGTCCCTGAAGTCTTTTAAAATAAATGTGATACATAGTTGGTTTAAAAAAAAATCCCTTAAAATTTGTGTCTTTGCTCTAAATTCAGTTTGAAATGTGTTATTTTCATTGCACATGGAGAATTTTTGCCACACAATGCCACTTATTTCACACTCTCACACTTGGATCAGAAACAGTCCCACTCACCAACAGGCTGCACCCAATCATGGTTAACCTTGTTCACATATAGTCAGTGAATACTTAACATAGTTGTTTATAAGCAGAAAAGATAAAAGTATATTTAAACACTTGTTATTAAAACAGCTTTTGTCTTTGTAGTTTAACCTTTTTGGTGATGGCTGCCTGTGTAAATATATACAGGGATAGTTGGCAATAGACCTAAAATGGTTTGTTTGTTTGTTTTTTAAAAGAAGTGCAGAAGTCTTTGGCTGGCAAACACTCAAACAGAGACACCTGAACCTGATGATGAAGAAGACGTTCGGCAGCCAGTCTGCTCATTAGTTTACGGAAATGAAAGATGCAATTTTAACAGCAAATGGCTTGAGGATAATTGTAACTCCTGATGATTAAAAGTGTTCCTGGAAATGATGAACAACATACTTTATTTTATCTGAAGTGACCTTTTCCCCATTTGGAAAGTGTTTAGTTTTGTCCTTCATTTAATTAAAAGTGTTGCTTAAAAGGTCTGAAAGTGTGAAATTAAAAAGTTAACCTTTGCTGTGCTTGCTAGTTGGCGCCAGGTTGGTTTATTATTTTAGTAAATCATAAGCACAGTTACCTGTTGTTTCTAAGATGTTATCAGTCCAGTTCAGATCTGCACTACTTTAATGAGCTTTAGACTGTGTCGGAGTAAGCTGCAACACATTAGGTTAATGATGGTTTCTATTTACTTTAAATTTATTTATTTTTTTCCCCCTCTAAATTATTCAGTTGGTCACCACTAACATCCCAAGTAACCAACCTGTAGCTAAGCTTAAAGTAAGCTTAGGTCTACTCACTTTTCCGTACTGCTGTAGAAGCCTTCATCACCAAAGCCGAGCCTCGTTACACCTGAGTTTTATCCATTCCACATCAGGACTGGAGAGCTAGGATGGCTCGTATTTGTTGATCTATTAACACCAATGAAAAACAGCCAGCTTTTCCCAGCTAGCTGATACTAATGCTAAGCCATATACAGTGGAACCCCGACTTATGAATGCCCCATTTAACAAAAAATTCAAGTTACGAAGGCACTTGACGGCAATATTTCTGCCCGTGTTACGGCAAAATGCCCGTGTAACGAAATCCGCTGGCTCTGATTGGCTGAGCCCAGAATCCCTACAATGCCCACAATGCCTTCCGAATCATGTGACAACTTGTGCTTTGTTTTATTAGCCTATAACTTATCGTTCACTCAAAATGGGTGCTTCGACTTTGGAAAATTTTGTTTTTATGAAATCTATTCACAACGCAGGAGGGTAGACAGTTTCATAAATGTTAAGTTACAGCAGCTTGAATCGTGTTGTTTTGAACCTCGGGTGAACAAACTCAGTAAAGTGTGCTGGATTGATTTTTCAAATGGATCCTCTTTGAGGGTAGTAAAGTACATCAAACCACAGGGTTAGGATAACGGTCCATTCACACACAACAGAATTGGACTATGATTTATTTTTAAATTATACAGAGTCTCTTTTTTGTTTTCTGTTCATTTGAACTTGCAGGTGTTGAAAACAAACTCGAATGATATTTGAAAAATTGGAGCTGAAGAATAGCTTTCATCATAGTTTACCATGAACTGTGCTCTATTTTACAGTGAGAGACAGCAGACAGACTCTAAACTATGGGGGGGGAAGCTTTTTTTTTTCATAATTCTTTTCAGATTTCTGTTTATTGTTCAGTAATAATTCATCATAAAGACATTTAGCTATATTTCTTACTTAGTTTGAGCTCTTTCTTTTTAATTTTTCTGCCTTTTTTGTAACTTTGATGTAGATTTTGTTTGATTTTCAACAGTTTGCGAGGTGGAAGAAAGGGGAAAAAAAAAAAACAACTGGTGTGTAGTCGTGATTTGTGCATCTGCGCGGCATGCTGAAACTCCAGGGTGTCAGCCAATTTAGAAACATACACCTTCACCCTCTGCAGAGCACATGTGGGATGCTGCAAATTTTTATTTAGCTTCCAGTCTGTTCTTGTGAACACGCACACATCCAGTCACTGGTGTCGCCTCCTGTGTTGTAGGTTGGTGTGGGATATAGTTTGCTATGGTGATGACTAGTTATGCTGCCTCGTCACCACACATACACACTCGCGCGCTCCTACAAACACACACAAACACTTAACACCTTGTTATATGTCAGCCCTCCTCCAGCCCATCTGTGTTGTTTGTTGCTTCAACTTTATTTTTTCCAACATAACTTCATATGCCTGCATATTTAAAGCGATGCTTTCCAAGCTTGAATTCAGATATCAACACCAGTTTGTTGATCAGAAAGGGACAATGATGATTTTCAAATTAGAATCAAGTATTTATTTTGCAGCATTGGTTGGCTGTTAGTATACCCAACAATAAAGATAACCAGTGCAACACAAGTTGGTGTTTCTGACTCATTTTAACTTCCGTTTGAGGTTGTATGGGTAGGGTGGCTAGCGCGTACACACATCCGCCACAATCCCCTAATCTTTTTTTATTTTTATTTTTGCTGCCTACTTTTTTGTCGAATGCATTAAGCGAGACAAACAACAAGCACCGCATCGATTCTTTCGAGCTCCAGCGCAGCTAATTGCACCTACGCCGGATAATGCTTGCATTTCAGAAGAAGCAATCGTCTGCATGTTGCTCAATAGTGTCCGAAACAAAAGCTTCATAAAGCTGCGCAGAGCGTATCAGTACAGGAAGTCACACCCAGGAACGGCAGAGAGTCCGGTCAGTTTTCAAAATAAAAGACTTGGAGCAGACAAAATGTTACGCTTCTGAAATGTCCACATTTCCACCTTCTGATAGTTCTTGTTATTGCACTGTCCTGAAGAGTTTGTAACCCCAACTCGAAGACAAGATCCTCTCTAAAGATTCAATGATGAGGCCATTGAGCCAGGCATTAGGGAAGACATAATGAGAGAGGCTGGGACTAACTAGTTGGCTACCACTGAGCTTGGAAATTAAGAGAGATTCAACCACTTGCAGCCAAATACACAACAAATCCATCACTAAGAAGTCATTGTACATCATAAAGGCTCGGATTTTAATCCCCACTGTAGGAGCATTTCAAGCTTAACATGTTTAAAAGACAATCAGTACTAGCAGTTTTTGGTGAAAGTGTGGTTGCACCAAAGTCAAGTCACCAAACTGTATATTCTTTTTTTTAAAGTTAGGTTTTATGAGTAAATGAAGCCATTCTGTTTACCAAATGGCCCAAAATAACAGAACGCACTAACAACTGCTAAGTAAAGCAGCAGACTCATTGCCTTAACTCTGTGCAGGCCAATGGTGCCCATGTGTGCTGTTACCCCCTGCAAAGACCTATTTTGAGCATAGAGGAAAAACCATCTGAAGTGACAACACATCAGGAAATATTTGGCAGCATTGTCCTTTAAGTTCAGTCTGAAACCACTGGGTGATAAACTGGGAGCCCCTTTGATGTCCTCTGTGAACTGAAACTTATTAAACTTGTTGCTAATACACAAAAACAGACCAAATGTGAGTGTGGGCATTACAGGGCTCTTATCCCCACGAAGGAACTAAGCCACAGAGAATTAACAGTATATTAACAGTCAGTTTGATATCTCAGCAGTTACTTTCTCCCTGCTCTCAGTGTTTCACATCAAGGAGCAGCTGGAGCCAGGCTCTGCTGTGAATGCCTTTTCTGTGGTTTTCTAAACCTTTTTAACAACGAGCTGTTAATTAATTCTGACGTCGTCAGAAGAAAGTCCTCTTCATCTTTGATTGATGCTTCTCGCCGCCTTTTGAAGCAAACACGCGCCGGTACACACATGAACGTTTCTTCATTCGGTGCGTGTTATCGAGCGTATGTGTTTTTGGGCTCCTTCATATCTGCATGTGCGTTCGCTGCACAGAAGTCGCGTCTGTACGGTCCAAAGTCCTTTCTAGTTTGTTTGAAGGAAGTTCAAAGACCACGAGGCCTCGAGAGAACCGGGGCCCCACGATGTGAGACTGGCTGCCCCATGTTGACTCGGTGCTGTTTGAGATTGTGTATGCGTGTTTCTTTCACACATATGTGCCTGCCCTTTTCCCCGATTTGTTCAAAGTGCCTTCCATTTATCATGTCAGCGAACATTATGTCCACCAGCTTTCACAGCACGCACAGCCCTGATATTATTAAGACCCACACACAGATCCTGCCATTCAATGCTGTGTGTGTGTGTGTGTGTGTGTGTGTGTGTGTGTGTGTGTGTGTGTGTGTGTGTGTACTGATTTGTTATGAGTTTTTCCACCTTTTTTGTTTGCACTGGGTTTTGCCTGCACGCTCCTGTTAATTTTTCACCTCTACATAGTTCTCAAGTGTGGAAACAAATAGCAGTAGATGCCATTTGATTGTGATTTGACTTCATATTTCAAATCAGCTACTTTACAGAAGGAGGAAGGAAATAAAAAAACTTTGTTGTGAGGCTGAAGGCTTGCACAAAAGATTGAGGCGTCCACCAAAATCTTTGTTTTTCTTAACGCAAGGTTTAATTTACAGAGGTTTAATACGTAATTTGATTTATTAAATGGCCAACGAGTAGAAGAAAGGTAATACTGATTCATTGCCTAGTCGCACCCTGAGAGGCGTGTGCACCCAAAGCACTAACTAAAGTATTTCTTCTTAACACCTTTTATTGTTAAGTTACTGTGATGCATAAAGGACAGTAAAGCTGTGTGGAAATGAGCCGTCGTTTGGCAGCTCCGTCAAAGTAAACTGACAGAAAAAGCTTCTTTCAGCTGCTCCCTAATTCACATGATTTCTCTATAGATTTTTATCCTTACACAAACCCAACGGGATTTAGAAAACCTAAAATGATGTGTCACACATTTATCTTAGATTTTTTTTAAAGATGTCCTGATACATAAAACCTGAGCGTTGAAAGGTGGTGTCCCTTGTTTTTCACCTTTTTCTGTTTTCCCTCTAGTTTGCTGTGCATGTCGGTAGTTTTTGTTGTTGGCTTGCCTGTTTTCTGCCTGCGTCGTATGTTTGAGCCTTTGTGCCTGTTGTATATCTGCCTGTAGTGCTGTGTGTGTGTGTCTGCGTTACATCTGCGTGGGCGTGCGTAGCAGTCGGCTGTCAGAAGAGGCCCTCCACTCATTGAGTCGCTGAGGGGCTGGGTGAGCTCCTGTTTCACTCACGGTTGTTCTCACTTGTTCCAGACTCCTCTGACTAATGCTCACACAGGAGCAGCTTCATTATTACCACTAATATTACATCCATGATTATTGGCTTTCTGTCACTTGCAGCGTGACTCATTGATTGGAAGAATATTTCACTTTGCAGTTACATCACTGCACAGTTAATATAAACGTATTCCGGCTGTTTCAACTGCACGTGTTTGGCTCTTGGGTTATGTATGCATGTTATTTGTCCACAAATAAACTATTGATCTTTCTACGTGAACGGTTATATATGGATCAATGGCCGCATTAGAGGCAGGCACACAAGCAAAATACTCGTAGCGTTTTATATTCAGCCACCTCCGACGCCGGAGAGCAGCTCAATACAATTTATTAACACTAAGAGGCTTATTTTTAGCTCTGTATTCACAGAAATCCATATTTCTCTCTTAATATGTAACCACTGAGCTCATCTGCACATGATGCCTCCGATAATGATGAACAGCTTCTTAGATTTCTCACATTGAAGTGACCGGTCACAGCTGAATGAGAGACACTGATGCCCAAGTTTTTTGTAAAGAAATATGAATGTAGTTTGTTCCCGAGGCTATCGGTGAGTCACAGGGAGCCATTTTATCGTCTTTCAGAGCTCGCTATTCACTCCTCTGCATCGCTGTGTGTATTGACGATGACTAATACAGCCTTACTAATGGAGCCGCCTGGGTAAGACGGAGTCTGAACGGCTGTCTCACTTCCTTAAGTAATCCCAGAGAGAGCTGGAATTTAACTGCGAACAGCTTGTTTAATTGTCTGCTGTACACTGAGCAGTGTAAAGCTACGACGCAGGGAGGGCTCTGAACAGCCACACATTGGGCTTATTGTTTGTCGGTTTGATTTAACATGGCCAAAAACACCAATTCTGTAACATTAAGCATGAAAATCAACATTGAACATGAAAGTCTTGGTAAGTTGAAAGCCTGTTTGTGACCCTGAGGTTGAATGCAGCGGCTGTTCGTGTTTTATGTTCCTGTAGTTTTTTTCTCTCCTTATTTTAAGAGCTGAAAATCTTGTAATGACTCTAAACATCTTTCTGCTCATTTTACACCACTATGCACAACTTCTAGAAGACAGCTGAGCTTTGATTTGGTTTTAATATTCACAAAGGGGCTGCAGACTTAGTGTTTCTGATATACAGGCAAACATGTTGGCTAACGAGTGAGTTATCACTGGTGTCTTATCGTTCTGTGGCAGCTCAGCGCTGTGCTTATCCGTGCTTTCACACTCCTTTAAATGCGAGACTACAACAAAAGCGGCCACAATCAAAGTTTTACTACATGTTACTTAAGATATGTTAGCGTGCTGGGACATAACATTGTTTTTTGTCATTCTCTCTTCAGATACTACTACAACAAGAGGATCCTACACAAGACCAAAGGGAAGAGATTCACCTACAAGTTCAACTTCAACAAGCTAGTGCTGGTCAATTACCCCTTCATCGACATGGGCTCTGGTACGTACACATCACATCACTTTTAATTCAACCACAGGGTTGTTCCTGGCTCAGCAGGTCCACATGTAAGGAGTCTGTTACCGGGCTTAACTGAAGTGATGTTATATTTTTCCCATCTGATAAGAAAAAAAGCATTTTACGTTTTGAGTAAAGCGAGCTTTGAAAAACTTTTTTATTTTGGTGGAAAGCCAAAACGTCTTTCATTAGCACCACAAAAAAGTGATTTTCAGTCAAGGTGGGGGCTGTGGGAGGTTGGAGACACTTTACGAGGTGAACTTTAGTCTTAAAACACACGCTAGTCTGGGAATAAATCCCTACCTGATGGCCTCTTTCCCCACCAGCTCCACCTCCTTTTTTCCCCTTGTTTTCTTTTTCTTTTCCTTTTCCTTTTTTTTTTTTTTTTTTTTTTTTTTTGGATTTCTACTTAAAGTTAAAAATTCTCATCATGTTTTGATAATTTAAGCTGATAATCCTGTTAAATAATTAAATTACCATAATCGATCAGATTAATTATTACTATGTTATTATCCTAGCTGTGCATCCCTACATGTGCTCTTTTCTTGTACACATGCTTTCTCAGCTGCTGCAGCAGGAATTTCCAATAAATGAACTTTACTTGATGGCAGGAGGCGAAATTCTTAAGTTTTGCAGGAGCAGTTGGGCATTAACGTGTTTTTGACGTGGCAAAAGAAACTGCAGCTCCCGGGGAGGCGGTGTTTGCTCCCACCGAGCCTCCGCTCTGACAGGTTTACAGCAATCAGCGACTAGCTGAGTTCATCACTGTGTTGTAGAGCTTGCGAATGTGGTGCTGAGACCTGCTACAATTCCTGCATCCGGCACATTTTCGAGCTCACAGGCTGCCCCAGCACCCCTTCTAACACTTCACTGACACCACCTCGTGTTGCAGTCTCTGCACCTTGTTTATGTAGTAGGATGTTATCCTTACCTGTTGGTTAATTTGGCGACAACCTTGAGGGTTCAGCAGGTATCATGTCGGTGAATATCTGCTCTTCTCGTAGACTCATGGATGCTCAGCTCATCTCGTCTGAGCTTGGTTAGCTCACGTAGTTATCTGGATTTTATCTCAATTTATACTCCGGGCCCTTAAGCAGGATTTTGGGTGCTCAGAATACTGAAAACAGAGATAATTTCCATTTATTTAGTGACATATAAAGATAAAGGGCTCAAGCTGAACATGGGGCATGTTTAAGAGTGTTATTAAAAATAGTTTTCAAGTGTCTGTGATTTAAATAAACGTGGCTTGTTGGCTCACCTTCTGACAGCTACTGCAAAATATGACTCTCATAGTTTTTTGTTGTTTTTTTTATACAAAACAGTTTTTAGGTGTCGATTTTTCTCTTATTTCTCAGTAAAGATACCAGCAACGCGTTTGCCATGAACAGAAGATTATATTCTACTGCAAATCTAAATCTTTTTCTTTTCATTGCCCTGACTTTGGTTTGAAATCGGAGAAAGAATGCTTTTAAAGCCAACAAAGCCCAAAAGAGTGTATATAACAGACATTCAAATATTATTGTCTGAGAAAGTTTCCAGTCTGTGCGGTGGGGGGCCTCACTAATTTACTCGCCAAAGACAAATATTGTAGGTAAAGACTCGAACGTACTAATCCACCCTGCCTTGGTTACAGATGACGTTCACTGAATTTAATTTAAATTTTTTTTCTTTTAGTCTGAGCTGGATGCCATCCTAGTGAAACGTACAGCGTGTAAAATTTGTGCGCGCACGCCTGAGTGTGCCACGTCCCAGCTTCGCCCCGGTCTCGAAGCCGACTCTCGTTCTGGTCCCGGCCACCCAGTGTAAACACAGCCCATATGGAGCGTTAGATCCTGGGTGACATAAGTGCAGCACGAAACTTTAATTATAGCCTCCGTGTGATGTGGCCCACACACTGACATGTTGTGATATGATGGTTTCATGCGACGGTTGCACGCACGCCCACGTCAATCTGGATCGATTGGTGAGCACAGATGCGGCGAACATACATGCACGCATGCAGTTTTTCTCTCTGCGCTCGTCATCGCTGACACACATGGCAGATGTGCTCAGAAACCTCACTCAGCAGCTCTGGAGGGGAAAAAAAAACAGAAGAGCCCAACCCATGTTTGTGATGGCAGTAAGAGCAACTTTTCCAATATTTAATTCTGGCACGTGCTCGGATGCCAAGAATTTATTGCCGTGCCACAGTCTCCCTGGCGAGGAGAGGGAGAGGAGGAGGGGGAGCGAAGGAGAAGGGAACTTGTGGCTTAGTGTGTAACCCGCTGTTTTTTTGTGTGTGTGCGCCTGTGACCCTCTGGTTAAAATAAAACCTCCTGTCATTAGTGACTTTTCCCATTCTCTTCAGGTTCAGAGGGTAGTTTGTGGAAATTTTAGAAATGTAAAAATCTAAAATAAGTCAGCTCGATGTTTCAGCCAGTGTTTTACGAGCTAGACTGAGGTAACTTAGGCCCAGGGAGGATTGGGAAAACTGTCTTCAGATAGTCCACAGTGCTTTCATATTACTCCTGTGCATCCATTCAGCAGCTTCCAGTGAAATTCAGAGGTTTTTTAAAGCACATTATTTACATGAAAGCTCGAACATGGCCTGTTTCTGTAGCACACCTGCTAAGATCTTATTCTGGCATTCGCTCTTATTTTTAATCCAGTTCACAGACGAAAGGATGTATATGTAAAACTTGGTGACATCTGTTTGATTTTTGCTTCCTCACAGGCCGAGGAGTCCCCCAGAGTGCTCCGCCCGTGCCGTCCGGAGGCACCCACTTCCGTTTTCCCCCCTCCACACCATCCGAGGTCCTCTCATCCACAGAGGAGCTGCGCAGCCCGGGAATGTTCAGCAGCGTGGGCCGCCGCATGGCCCGCGGCTCCGTGAGCGACTGCAGCGACGGCACCTCCACCAACTCTGAGCTGGAGGAGGCTGTGGGTGCAGAGGACAGGGTTGGGGGTCCTGAGAGAGCTTTCAGGAGTCTCCTTCCCCCCCGCATGCCTCATGAGTCTCTGTTCAGGGTCTACGGTGGAGCCCCAAATCCTGGGCTCCCCAGACCTGCTCCCAGAGTCCACCCAGAGCCTCTGTCCCCATTCCCCATCTCACCCCTACCCGGCTCTGGAGGTCTGCTGGCCCCAACTCTCTCCCCAGCCCTGTCTATGACCCCCACCCCTCACCTCTCTTACACCCCGTCCCCCTCCATGTCGTCCCCCATGTTGGGCTCCCACTTCTCCTTCAACCCGGAGGACATGAAGCACTACCTACAGGCTCATACCCAGTCCGTCTACAACTACCACCTCAGCCCCCGAGCATTCCTCCACTACCCCAATATCGTCATCCCACAGCCCCACCGCCCCACCCCCGAGAAACCGGCCACTGCACATCACCTCCACGGCCCACCCATGCCGCTCTCTCATTCCCTCAGTCAGCAGCCCGGAGGCGGAGAGGAAGGACACCAGCATCCATCGCCATTCAAGTTCAAGCTGCAGCCACCTCCGCTCGGACGCAAGCAGAGGGAAGCGGGAAGCTCAATGGCCGCTTCTTCCTCCTCCTCTTCCAGCCAGTCCTCCTCGTTTACAGGGTCCAGTCAGATGACCAATTCTCTGCTGAGCAGAGGGCCGCCTAATATCAAGGTGAGTCTCCAAGCACACGTGCATGAGCCAAAACTGAGTTTGCATCACATCTCGTAAGACTGAAGGTGCAACTTTGTGTCCAGAAATTTCAGCCCGGCAAATCCACAAAAGTTACAAATATCTCTGAAATATCCTCTTCAGCTGGGTCACATTACAGCTTTATGTCATTTAGTTCAAACAAACTGTTTAATGTGTCACCAGAAATATATTTAAGAAATTCTTTCTCTCCAGGTGGAGCCCATTTCAGACATAGAGTCAGAAGAAGATGTGGAGGTGACCGACATCAGTGAGGAAGATGAAAAGAATCATAACGATGAGGACAATGAAGGCGATATCTTCACACCGACAGCTGGCCACAACAATCACCATCAGCTAAACAACCATCACCAGGCTAACGGAAACAGCAGCAGCCCCTCTGCTCCTCTTCCTCAGAACAATAACCCCGACGATGACCCCGACGATGAGGTCTTCAAGACCCCCGCCACGCCTCCTATCGGTGGGGGTGGTGGCCTGGCCTTCCCTCTGATCAGTCTGAAGAGCGAGCCGGGGAGCCAAGCAGCTCCCATCAGCCCCGGAGGCACGCGCTGCATCCCGCTGAAACTTCGCTTCAAGCGCCGCTGGAGCAAAGACCAGAAGATGGAGGCGGACGGAGAGAGGGACGAGGCAGAGGACAAGAAAGTGCGGGCTGAAGGCGAGGAGGAGGCGGAGAGAAGAGGAAGCGAGGTGGAGAACGGAGGAGGACGAGGAGAGGGGGTTATTTTGGGGCTAATGCTGCCGCCGCCTCCCACCCAGCGCAGAGCGAGCTCGGAGCTGCAGAGGGCCACAGCGCAGCTGTCTCTGGAGAACTCCGGCTGCTGAGCTCCACGCGTGCACAGGATCTGACTTGGAGACAAGACCTCGGATAGTCTCGTCGGTCCTCGCCAGCAGTAGTAAACGTAGCAGGATTTGATTTGACGCAAGAGTTCGTTTGATGCTAAAATGGAGACAAACGCTTAAAGGTTTAATGCGCTTTGATTTAGCTCTTCAGCTTCTATGTGAACATGCGTGTGTATCATATGCAGGAATGTGTGTTTTTGTGCAATAATTCGAGGAGTCGTTGGTCTCTTTTTCCTCGTACACTTCTTAAATTGCAGAACAAAATATTTTCCTTCATATGAAACACCAACATGTTCAAATAGAGAGAAAAATTTGGCGGCTTTGTTTCCGTTTTCGCATCGTCACGTCTTTTGGCGGTCAGTACTGTCAGCAGGTAGCTGCTCGGCATTATGATGTATGTAAAAGCTTGGGTTGCCTCTAATGTACAGTAAGGCGAGACGCCTCGCATCTCACCAGATGCGGTGGACGCAGTCTCTCCTGTGACTCGAACACTAAGAGATAACCAAACTTAGATTGTACATGGATTTTTGCCCACTTCTATTTCTTTTAACATTAGAGTTCTGCAGAGAGGGCGTCTGCTCTTTAATATCCATTTGCACACTGCCTCATCCATCCCTCCACACCCTCACAGTGCCATGGTTCCCCCCACATCGCATCTGTGCCCAGATTACGTCTTTGATGGGATTAATGGGTCCTTCTTCTGGAACTCTGAGACAAAATACAAGGGTGCAAAGATCCAGGTTGTAAGAAAGTAGAATTCCCCTCTCTCCTTTGTACTCACCATAACAGACAGTTCCTGATTTTAAAAAAGGAAGAAAAAAGAGACTTTTAACCGCCCTGATGGAGATTATAGAAGTGCCTCTCTGTCTGCACCCGTCACCTTGCAGTTCCTTACAGGACGGAGAGCTGCGAGCTAAAAAAGAGCCGACCTCGCTCCGAAGGATCTTACGGACTTGAGGTGATTAGAAAGAGCTCAGCAATCAGCGGGGACACCACGGGACTGAGGGGCCTCCTCGTCCTCGGCTCGTTCGCTGTACAGACAAGAGATGAACGAAGCTGAAAAGGAGAGGACTGTTTTCCTGACCCGTCGCACAAGATTGTTTGCAAATGAATTCGACGTTGTACAGCAAAAAGCATCCGGGTCTGGGAAGAGAGCGGCGGATATTTCTCTCCAATTTTCTCTTCGGTTGTTGCGGAAATGAGGAAGCATCCACTAGCAAGGCTGTAATTACACACACTCCCACAGAAACAAGTGTGTGTGTGTGTTTGTGGACCCAAAGCTGGTGCACTAACCTCGAGGATACAGAGGGTTTCTCTGCTTTTTATGTCCCTGCGTGACTTCGCACAATCACCGAGGGGTTTTTGGAGGTTTGATGGCGTCTGATTTAAAAACTCTCGTCTGCATTCCCCTGATTTGTTTTTAGGACTTCTGTCAAAGGATGTTTGTGCCTCTTGAGGACGTGGACAGTATTTTAGGGCATTTTTGCAGTGATCTGAGGGCTTTCTGTGTTTTGGATATAATCTGTTCACGTGATGTTTTGTTTTTGTATTTGAGAAGCAGCGATTCGTCTAACGGCGGGGTGGGTGGGCGAACAAGAACGGGAACCATGAAATGAATGTCGAGCATCAAGGTTAACTCAGGCAAACCTTCACTGAGATGTTGCTATAACAGCTCATTTTTATGTCGTTTTATTCAGAGTTTTAAACAGAAATGTGCCCGTTTTAAAGAACAACAGGTAGATTGTGCCTTTTTTTTTTTTTCTCGAGTTTTATTGACCTACCCCCGGCTTAATGTTTTATCTCACACACTCACAGAGTACCACCATGCCTTCTGCTTTTGTAAAAGATACAGAATAAGTAAATCTACACATATATATTTTATTCAAATATATATTGAATTCAAATATTATATTTCAATATGGTCATTTGATACAAATCAGGAGAATCCTACTATTTTTAATGGTAAAGATGTGTGTGTATATACTCTAATGGGCATATTATTACCAGTATAATTCAGCCTTTGCCTTCTCACCCTTGCCTTCTCTTTGACCGTTGAGCTGCAGCGACAAAAGGCCACTGGTATCAGAGTTTTATATTTATATTGTTCAAAAAAACGGGGGGGAAGCAGTTATTGTGTATTCAGGGGACGGAGGGTGTGACTTGGAGAAAGGAGTGAACTTTTAACCCGGTGGTTCTCGAACTTAAAAGTTCACACCTCACACGTTTTTTTTGTTGTTGTTTTTTCCCTTATCAAACTTTCAGGCATCAAATTTGTTCGTTTTAGTTCCACTTCATGTTCCATAGTTTGAGACCTGCTGATTTAACCTGACCCGGGTTAACTCATTATGACTCTGTTATCTGGTGTGTTTGTTTTAATGCCCGTGGAGTGGCAGCTGGGTGGAGTTTAACCACCACAACACGGAGTCTGTCGCAAGAAAGGCAAATTTAGGAGGGGTTGTCCTCCCGTTTGCTCGCTCTCCACCCGCCTCAAACTTAAAAATCAGCTTAAAAGAGGTGAAGGTCGCAAAACAGGGAGCGGGGAACGGACTCGTGTGTTCAGGGCGCTTTCTGATTGGACGGCACAGGTATTCAGCTTCATGTCGCCACATGAGGTCAGCAGGGCCACAGCTGTGATAGGACTGGACTTTGACTGAGGATTCGAAGTTTTGTGTGTCTGTGCTGATCTGAAGCCTACACACACACAGAGCTTCTACACACACACACAGTACGATGGTTAGCGAGGCTTTACTGTGGCTACAATAAAGGGAAACATGACATCACACCTGACATCAGACGCCTCCGCAGTCTTTTGGCACTGCCATAGAAACTGCAGCCAATCACACGCAGCGAGGAAACTGCATCAGTAAACCTCAGGGCAGAGTGGAGAGAGAGAGAGGGACTTCCCATAATCTGACTCGCTCATTCTTGTCTGTGTGTGTGTGGTTTCTATGGTTAAGCCGTTTACACACACACACACACACACACACACACACACACACACACACACACACACACACACACACACACACACACACACACACACAGAGCTTTTTAGCCCAGTCTGCAGAGAGTCTTGGTGCAGGTTTTAGTCCTGTTTGTCCAACCAGCTCCAGTCTCAAATCCATGTCCTAAACCAATCATCAGCTGTCTCCATCAGGCACGTGGTACGTGTCCACAGGGGTGTTTTGGACACACTTTTGAAGTTGATGAGCAAAAATCCCACCAGCTCTGATGAAGGACCCTGACAGCGTAGAGTCTGCATATCTGCTCACATGCATACATTTACCTAAAGACAGAGCACCTCCGGCTTTCTCCATTCATTGCGTACAGCCTAGCGGGATTGCCTGGAGCTTGATTTGCTCTCACAGGTGTCACAGTGCACCAGGCACCCCTGATTTGTTTAAAGCAGCCTCACCTTTGGTTTGGCACCAGAAACACCTGTGGCCTCATTTTCAGGGCTCTTCTCTCGAGCAGTGTTGCTCTCTTAAATCCCACTCCTCCTTAAATTTGATTGGTCAGAGAGAGAGGTCACAGTGATGGGGAAAAACCTACACCGTAAACTCTGAGGGAACTTCAAGGACAGATGTAGCAGTTAACACGAGTCTGGTAGAGGAAAATAAAAACACCCGAACTGTTACACCTGTGCTGCCTTACCTGACAACAGAATAACAGTTTCCCACCAGCTTCACATTTTCACTCCTCAGCCTCATCAGTGCTGTTCTTACCATTTTTCTTCTGTATTATTTCAGACGTATTACTGTTACTCTTGTAATTATTATCTTATTAACATTAATAATTTTTTTTAAATTGCATTGTATCCTCTCGCCACGACCCGGCCTCTTCTCCATTAATTCCTGGTTTTCTGTGAGTTTGCGCTCTTTCCGTAACTAGTCGGCTTCAGTGCAGTCTTTATTTTTTATTATTTTTCTTTTAATTACGCTGATTTTATAACCGTGTTACCGTGGACAGGAGCGGGGTCACATTAACCCCCCCACGTGCTCTACAGCGAGGGGGTCAGACACAGTCATTTTCATTTTATGATGATATGTATATATATTTTCCCTTTTTTTTTTTGGAGGACTCTGTAAGAAAAAGAGCATTGTACTGTTTAACCATTTTATTATTTGCAACGTTTCCCCCTGTGTTTTCACTCGGGTCTCTGTCTCTCCTCTCATGTCCACCTCAGCGGTGAGCGCTCACTCCAGAGGACAGACGGAGACTTGTTTTTTTTTTTATGTCATGGAGGATCCACATGTACTTCTGTTTCACTGCTATCTGTTCATCTTCATTTGTAATTAAATAATAATCAGGGTTCATTAAAAAAAGGTCAGTTTCTGTCTTTATTTCATGTTTCTGCCACTTGAAAACACAATGGGGAGTTTGTTTACGGACTTTGATGTTAGCTGGAGTTAGAATTCAGGAAAATTTTAAATTTACTGACATTTTTTGTAGATATTTTGACTGTAGATGAGTAAAATATACCCAGATACCTGGTTTGTTGTACCATTATCTAATATTTTCAGTAAAAATACACATTTAGAGTGGTAGATGCTCATGTAAAGTATATCCAAAACCCTATTTTGGTAAGGGGCAGGCAATCCATGGAGTAGGCTTAGGAAGTAGGTGGCCCGACGGTGCTTCCTTTTGTCAGAGGTGCTGCACTGTTGTCCAAATAAGCATCATTTTAAACTGTGAATCATGCAAAGCTACTGTAGTAGAGTGTAAATTTTATGATTGCTGCCCCCTTTTTTTAAGGTTGGGATAAAGCAGTGATTCTAAGGCATTTTATACTATATTGTTAAAAAAAACAAAAAACTGCGCAAGCACTTTGCAACAGTGGGAAGGAAGAACGCCCTTTTAACAGGAAGGAACCTTCAGCACAGCCAGGCTCAGGGAGGGTTAAGAAAACCGACATGCTGCAGTGGCACATAAATTCGTCTGGTGTTATGCTTTGTAGCGTACAGTCGCTACGAAGATGGCTAGCACCTAGTCATCCACAATTTCATCATTAGATGGTAAGCCTCGTGCTCACTATCTGATGATAAAGTTTACATTGTGTGGATACAGAACTTATAACACCTCTCAGGGGCACATGTCTATGATTCAGTTCCTTATAAAGATCATCTATGCTATTGAGATCTGGAGACTGGCTAGGACACTCCATGACCTTAATGTGCTTCTTCAGCCACTCCTTTGTTGCCTTGGTGGTATGCTTTGGGTCACAGTCATGCTGGAAGATCCAAACACAGCCCATCTTCAGTACTGAGGGAAGGAGGTTCTCGTTGAAGATTTTACAGTACATGGCCCCTAAATGCAGTGAAGTCGTTTTGTGCTCTTAACAAAAACATAAAGCCAAACTGTAATGCTTCCACCTCTGTGCTTGACTGTGGGGGTGGTGTTCTTTGGGTCATACTCAGCACTTTCTCCCAAGCGTTATCGGAATCATTTAGGCCCGGGGTGGGGAACTCAAGGGCTGGAGTCCTGCAGATTTTAGATCTCACCCTGGGTCAACACACCTGAATCAAATGATTAGTTCATTACCAGGAATTTTAAGACATGCTGAGGAAGTAATTTAGCCTTTTAAATAGCTTTGTTGGATCAAGAACACGTCTAAAACCTGCAGGACACCGGCCCTAATAATCCATTTAAAATGGTCCGAAAGGCTTCAGCATCCCAATTTAGTAGAGGCTTCACTTAGTTATTTCGCTGCTAATGGTCTAGTTAAAAAAATCTAACTGCGCAAATGTTACAGAGGTAGAAACTATTCAAAGAGAACAAGTCCTCCCCTTGTGTCAGCTGTAAGCATGTTTACTTCTGCTGTTTACCTGGATTGACTCACTTTTGTAACGAGCCTCAGGTGGCCATTAAAGGAACTGCAGTCAGGCGCTTCACGTGGGCTTTGTTTTTCATCCCTGGAGGTTTCTGCTGGGCTCAAAGCTGGTCTGCAAATGTTTCTCTGCTGTTCTGAACAGATGTTAAACTTGAACATGTAGCGGCTGGAATAACAGAAAATGTCTGATTCGTCTTCACAGTCAGGTCTTTTAACATTTTCCAGATAATTAATGAACAGATAACGAATATAATCATTAGCGACATCCTGATTGGCTGTTAAAAGAGGAGAATTTGAAGCTGCTTGCCAGCTTTTACTCACTCGCTGACGTGTGCCAAACTATTACTGAGTCAGATCGTTTTGTTTTCAGCAACCTGCAGCCTCTGAACGCTTCGTGACTCAACCGATGTCAACAGCAAGTTAAGTGCTTTGTACTCGTCTAAGTCTCTGCACATTTTATGAAAGAAAGCCATCCATGGATAAACATTCCCACTTCTGTTCGCTGTAGGCCTGCAACACTGATTAAAACCAGTGTTTTTGTGAGTTCAGGTGCAGAAAGGTCTTTAAAACAAAGACAAGATGTTAAATTAGGATTCTGGTGAAATGACAGGAATGAGTCAAACATCCTGTTTATTGCTTTTCATTTATGTTTTTTTTTCCATTAAATTTCAGTATGAGTGCAGCAGCAGTGCACATGGCCAGCATTAGTCATGACTGCCCTGAGAGTTTTAATAATTATGATGCTAATCGTGTCCCAAATGACACCTCGGTGATCCGCCCACCTCATGTTTTCACTCCTGCCGACATGGAAGTTCTAATTACTCACCCGACTGGCAAATCTCTCTCATAGCCCGGTGTGGGCTTATCTTTCTGCTGTGCCTTCTCATGCTTTGAATCAGTAACGTTTGTGCCACCTCACAAATTTTGGGTGCACTTTGCTCTGCGGCAGCAGTGTGGGTTCAAGTAAAAGGTCAGAGATCACTTTCAGGCTTTAGTTCTTGAGATTCAAACAGAAAGATGTTGATAACAGCGCAGTTTTTGAATACAATGCCAAAGCTAAGGCTGAACATTTCTTTGTCCAGTGCAAAGTTAGAAAATAATATTATTCGAGTCCCTTAAAAAAACTTTTTACCTATAAAACCATAAATATTGGATTTACCGTAATTGAGGCTAAAAAACTCAGACCTGACACTAAAGAGTCAAAGACTAGTACTTCCTGACTTTTGAAAAAAGAGACTTAAATTACTAAAAGATGATCAACCCTAGTTTGACAGTTTCCAATTTGATAAAGAAGAACGGTGTATGAAAAAGCATCCAATAAGAAAAAATGTAGTTTTATTGCTTTTTTGTAATTGATTGTAAGACAAAATATAAATATGAAGTAGATCTAAAAACCAGGTATATTAAAGTGACGTGAAATGTTTAGTTTCCACTTTTCTGGGCTTTAACCCAAAGGTTTTCCACCATGACTCACATTTTGACTCAAATAAAGCATCATTATGTTTAAGTATAAAGTCACTAAAAGAAACATATAGCCTAAAGAGCTGTTTTCTCTCACCTGTTTGTGTAGCTACCACTTTCCAACCATTAAAAACTGCCTCTCCCAGTGTTTCACTCCTGGTTTCTTTAGTAAAACCTTGGCTCCCCCTGCTGTCTGAAGTCAGAACTGCAGCTTTGATTTTCCAGAAAACCCTCCTGGTTTGCTGAGTTCCCAGCAGAACTGGACGGGATGAAGGTGAAACCTGAATGACTTTATAATTAAATGTTTCCCTGAAGATTGTTTACATACAAACATAAACATGCATTTAAGGCTGGGCTGATCATTTTGGAAACTGGCACTCAGGGAAAGTCCCACTGTGGAAGGAACTGGAATAAAAAAATGTCTTTAGTTTACAGGCTTTGTAATTTTGTGTTTCCCTGAACTGTGTAATTTACAGCAATTCAGATGGTTTTTTTCTTTTGTTTATCATCTGCTTCCCAGATGTTGGTCGGTGGGTTAGCACAGTGAGATTTGCCTTTAGGTGGACAACAGCCTGTTGGCTTTGCTTAGTTAAGATAAAGACCGGAAACAACATCTAGACTGGCTTTGACTAAAGTAAACACTGAATAATATTAAAAATTATTTTTTAGACAGTAAAATATTAAAATTTAAAGGAAACAATGGCAATATGAACATAACAAAGTTTTTTTTCTCAAACATGTTTGCAGCTTTGAGAGAAAACCCCACAGTCACAGTTGTGATGCTCCTCTGCTACAGTGCTGTGGGTATTGTGAACAGAGGAGTCTGAGCCTCTGTGCTAACTATGAAATTTCACCACTATTTCCATAAAAAGGACCCTCAGTTATATTTCTGACTTTCTGTAATTTAAGCAGCAGCTGTGTCACCCATCAGTTACTGCAGCACCACAGCTCTGTCAGCAGGCACTCGCATCACGTCTTACTTTATATCAGAATCAGTTTTCTTTCTTCTTGTTTCTGTTAATCATTCCATCATTTGTTTCAGTCCGTCTCCCCTGCAGTGCTCTTCGGCTGCTGCTCCCGTCGGGGGGACGGGCAGTACTGGAAGGAGGCAGACTGACAGGCTGTTTGGCCTCCAGCTGAGAGCGATTGTAGTCTGAGGTCAGAGGTCACAGTCCAGGGAGTCCAAGACAGAAACCAGATCACAACAGAAGGCTAATTATCATGCATTGTAGCTGGCCTCCTGCTGGGACGGCATTCGCTTTCACCAGCAGGCCACAGTGAAGCTTCTGGACCTCCTGCATTTAAAACAGGGTGAGACGCATGTGAGCAGAAACACTTGTTATTAAATTATGCACTTACACTCAGAGTTAGAAATTAAATCTTTGTATTAGAGGAAAGGAGTATACCAAACTATAAATGAAGCTAATTTGCACATTTTATTCTGCTTTTCTCATCAAAAAAATTGTTAATGCAAGAAAAATATCCAAATATTAACAGAAAAAACTGAAACCAAACTCTTACTCTTACCACCCCTCTGTAAAAATCAATATTTAATATCAATGACTTACATGAAAAATACAGTTAATAAAATGATGAGAAAACGAGCACTATTGCATATAAACCTGACTAGATAAGTACACATATACACTTGTGCTAACAATTCAAGAAACATTTCCTATATTTTATATCCCTCTGTTCCCTTTGTCCTTTTTTTCCGGATCCTTGTAGTACTTTGGTAGTAGTATTATGGTCAGTGGAAATGAAAACAACTAAACTGTGACAGCAAATTCAGAAACAAACTAAGCCTGCTCGGTGAAAACATTTATCACAAGGTATCCACGAGAGTTAAAGTTAGTATCTGAACTCAGAAACAGCAGATAAGAAAACAGCTTTTCACAGGGTTCCATTTGGAAGTAATGAACATGATGTATTGAGATAAACAATTTGTCTATTATTATGCTGTTTGATGATTAAACTCAGTTGACCCATCATAGCAGGCTGGAGACCAACAATGATAGGAATTAGGAACCCCAG